CCGTTTTTTTTTACAGACTTAAAACATTTTATATTTTTGCTTTATGGGTTACATGGTTCCGTTGAACGTTCTGCTGTAATTTTTCCAGTGAGAATGTATTGCCTGCTACCACTTTCAGTGTCGTTTCTATGTAGATTTAAAGAAAGGTTGTTATGTTGTTTTGTCACTTCAATGGCGACTGTCTGCTTTACTTTCCTTGGCATCGTCCTTGCCGTGCAGAATTTGGTTTTTTGTTGATGTTCATTCTTACTGTTCGGTTTGTCCCCATCACTAGAGCCCAGCGTGGATGACACTCTGATCATCCGCACCCGATCCAGATCCTCAGACTTCATACCCGCACCCGAACCGCATCCGCAAAATTCGGAACGCATCCGACTCTGAACCCCGCATTAATTTTACATTATAAAATCAAGCTTGACTAAAGTTTAAAAAAAAGATAAGACGTTTACAAATCTCTGTAACGCGAAATTAGAGCGCAGGTCTTCAGGAGGAAGAGGGGAGGCTACGGAGGGGAGGGTATGCACCTTCTTCTCCTCTCCTCCTCCTCCTGCCCCTCTCCCTTCTTCCTTCTTCTTTCTACCCTCAACTAGGGTCAGTGGGGACACAAAGAGTGAACCCTGAGGATGAGAGGAAGCCCTCTCGTCGGATCGGAGCTCATTTCGTCCACGGGCTCTTCAGGCAATGCCGTTAGCTGACCCTTGGGGGCCGACTGCCTCGACGGCTCAAAGGGCTTCCTAAGGGCAGATGTACGGGGTGGCTCTCCCTTCCCCGAGGGGAAAAGAGGCAGGGGGAGCCAACCTGTGTTCTGGGGTGGATGCTTACCCGCCAGCTACCTTCAGGTTGGGACGAGGTACCACCGGCGTTGGTACCGACCCGCAGATTACCCGGAGAATTTCGGGATCCCGTCGATGCCATCACTGGCGATACAGGTCCCCTCCGCTGGACCTCAGCCAGTGTTGTAAGGAACGGCGTACCAAGGAACGGCGTTCCAGGAACGCGTTCCTTTTAGGAGGGAGGAAGGAACGTTGCCGTTCCATTTTGCATAGCTGGAACTGGAACGGGAAACTCGTTCCATTTTTACGGGAACAAAAACAGGAACGGCGTTCTTTTTTTTTTTTTCGCTTTTCGGGTTAGCTTTATTTTATTTCTAAGAGGGAAATTCCGAAAAGTATAAAAACAATATCCTTATGAAGAGAAGGATCTCGTTAACTTTGTTGTTATTTATCTTGGGGTTTATTTTGTGGGACCTTCGCTTGATAACCGTCGGGTGCAGGAGAGCTAATGGACATTGATTCTTTTTTCAGTGTCTGAGACTGTGGTACAAATAGCAAACTTTTTAGTCGAAGGAAAAGACACAGAAAAAGGGACGTTCAAACTCAGCTACTTTCTTTGCTTCCACGAATCCTCATATACCCGGAAATTTAAGGCCGACTACAGATATCACTGAACTTCCACAAAAAAAAAACAAAAAAACCTACAGTTACAACAAAAGAACACGTCACCAGACATCGAATGCACCATTATATCCCGAACACTGGTCACCTAAGAATTAAACAAAAATTAACTTTTATTTCACCTTCTCTTCTTCTTCTCCTCCTTCTCCCTCCCTCCAACCTGAACAACAAATCCGACATTTTACTAAGGGATGGTAGTTATCAAGACTGACATTTCAAAAGCCGTGCCCTCTTCTGCACTTGCTCGTCTTGGGGAGAGCAACGTCGAGAAGCAAGTGTTGGGAAATACGAACAAGGAACTTTGTTAGATTGAAACGTGGGAGGTTGTTGTACAATTTGGCTCGTCTGAATTCCCATCACAAACCTGAGTATGGTTAAACGCTGATTTTTTTAAAGCTGAATACAACAACCAATGAAAGCTTTCTTCCGTTTGTTTCCTTCTCCTCTCCTTTTATTACGACATTGAAATTCGTATGTTGCCATTTGATAGAATAGATAGATAAAAAAATGAAAGCCGTTTACAAATCCCTGTAATGCCGAATTGGAACGCAGCCCTTGAGGAGGAGTAGGGAAGGGTACTGAGGGGGGTCACGTCACCTGCGAGTAGTCACGCGACCCCGGGGGGGTCCCGTGATCTCGGGGGAGGGGGGGTCACGTGACCCGGGGGGGTCACGTGACCTCGGGGGATCACGTGACCTCGGGGGGGTCACGTGACCCCCCCCCCCCCCGGTTACGCCGACGCCGACGCCGCTCAGGCTGGAAACGGGCCCCTAGGAGCTGCGCTCTAAAATGCCTTCGTTTAATCTAACTAAATATAGTAATTAGCTCAATAGAAAAGTAACGTATATGTAACGATACGTTCCTTTTTTAAACTGTAACGGGAACGAGTTTCTTTTTCACAAATGGAACTTGTAGCGGGAACGCGTTCTAAAAATCAGAAGTAATTGGGAATGAGCTTTCGTTCCTCTTTTTGAGGAACGTGTACAACACTGAGCTCAGCCTACCCACCCTTAGACAAGAAGGAAAGGCGTTTCCTTGCCTAAAGGTAAATGTTTTCGTTTACCTTCAGTGTAAGAATTTTCGTTTCTTGTTTTCATTGCGAACAGGTTCGAGGGTAGGCAGGGTGACGACCATCACAATACACACATTGCGATTAGTTTTCATACACCTCTGCCACACGGTTCTTACTGCCCGAACCGAATCGTTGCCACTTGAAGCACCGCTGAATGTTCGACACATATGGTCGAACACAGCATTCCAGGTAGCCTGCCTTTACAGTCCCAGGGAGAGAGGTCCAGTCAAAAGTAAAAATAAACACCCTTGCTCTTGTGATCTGTGTCATCACAGCGAACGTTGTTTGTAGCGATAAAGGATGACGACTGGAAAGGGGTGTAGGAAGTCTCTAAAGCTACGAAAGGCCGAAACTAGGGAGGCCTGCAGGTAATGAAAGGTGGCTTACGTGGTGCTGCGCACGCGACAAAGGAATATCGGTGGCCCGGGGCCAAGCGGGCACACCAAGCAAGGAAAGGAACATCGACCTAGGCCGAAGGTTCGAACAAGACTGATTTATGAGGCCGTGCGGGGCATGCACTTCCCGAACTTAGCATCAAACCGATGCGCTTGGAGTGGCCCGCTATAAAGTAGCGCGCCAAAAGAAAATACAAACACTACGGTGGTGTGCCGTGCCGCATCAACTCCCTGGTTGGAAAGGCCCTCCGCAGCTCAGCGTCAATCAAATCTAGCAATTTGTCTCCAAAAAACAAGTCCTTAAATAGTTTTAGTTTTCGATGAGGACTGACACTAACTTTCTAGTCCGACAGTGCGTTGAGTGCCAGAAGGGTATCACTCTGCTGCTTGGTATCGATCTCCATAAGAAAAGCTCCAGTCGACATTTTTTTTTTTTTTTTTTTTTTGCGCTACATTTCTGTCTAACAACGCCTTCAAGTACCTTAGCAACTCGAAAAGGCGACAGTTTACTTAGGGGCTGATCACTTTCAGGATGTAGGATTATAATCAAGGAAAGGTTTATGTTTAGGACCCATAGTAAATGGGAGGATGATTCGGTGCCTCGGGTGCATCGCCCACCACGGAGCCCAACACGAGGGTAGACGCTGCGCCAGTAAGCTACCAACAGTAAACTACCAGTGTTTCCGAGGCACAATATCCAAGCATGGTTACACGAACTGGACCTGATGCCACAAACGTATGTGCTTGCTGCTTAAGAAGGTGAAAAAAGAAGGAAGATAGTGTACCAGAAAGAGAAAGGAGGAGGTGAAAGTGAATGAAGAAAACAGAAGACGCGATTGGTTGAATATCCTGGCCGGGCCTTACCAGGACACCCGTCTATGAGATGAGCAAAGGCCGAAGTTGTTTGTTGCCTCGCCGGGTGGGCCCCGAAGGGTTTAACTAAGCCTACCCCGGGCTTAGTTCAACAACTAGGATGCCCTTTTACAGCGATACCTGGCATCGGATCTTTCCACCACTAGAATTTACATTCGTTGTTGATATAGTAGTAGTAGTTGTTGACATTGTACTTGGCGTATCAGGGCGTAGGCTGTCCGTCCTCGAGGTTTCCAAATCTTTGAAAAAGAACTTCCGCCTCCCGCGGGATTCGAACCTCGGTCCGCTGCGTGCGAAGCGGAGGCGTTAGCCCAGAGCCAGTTTTTGCAGTACCCGACGCCCACTGCACGCGTTCTCTGAAAAAAAAAAAAGAAAAAAAAAAAAGAAAGCTGATAAGAAAACGCCGTTGTTGCACTGTGAATGCCAAGAACTCGGCCAGGGAGCCGCGCTTTTATGCGCTCCGAAACAACAAAGAAACAAAAGCGTTCGGAAGAAATTGGTAAGATGTCTGATTCGTTTGAACGCTTTTGTTCACGCACCCCACGTTGCATAAAACAGACGCCGATTGTCCAACAACTTTGCCGTGACGTGTCGCAGCTACTGCTGGGACTGTACGGCGGATTAACACAGCACTGATAATTTTTTTCCCGGACACGGGAAAGTCGCGCGCAGCCAGATGTAGGTGGGTAGACCCACATCGTTCGGAATCCGCGGTGACGTCGCTTAGCAAACACCTACACATGGAGGTACCACCTGCGGGCTTTGCCGCAGAGAAATACTATGGAATTTAAAATGCCACAGAAAGCGGGTTTTAGTTTCAGATCTGCGGGCCGTGCGTCACAAAGCAATCTATTCAAGGGCTATTAGCTTTGGGATAAACTGCTGCCTACTTGTGACTGGTGAACTAACACAGTATATTAGGGAGGTAAATATTATTTTGAAAGTAGCGCAATACCAAGCGCCTCATGCAGGGCTGAAAAACTAAGAAAAATAATCTCCCTCCGAGGAGTTTAAAAATAGACTCGTGAGTTTGCCAGCCTTTGAATAAGAGACCTCTGATCTGTCAAGCAGGCGTGGTTTTTAAGGTGATAGATGTCTTGTCTTGCTTTGCATTTTAGGGCGCAGCTCTTAGACACCCGATTTTTTTTCCTTTCAGATTAGAGTCGCTAGACATTATAACCGGAGGAACCCTAAGATATCACAGGAATGTCGCTGAAAGCCCGCATCGAAGACGACATTGTACATTCCCCCTATCCCGGTGGTTCTGTACCAAAGATTTCAGTCTGTCAGGCCATAAAAGATAGGCTGCTTCAACAAGGTGAACGGACTGCATTAGTAAGTATGCCGATAAGTTTTGTGTACAGTGTGTTGAAGAAATGTGATCACTATGTATAATATTGTGTTAAGCAGAATTAAACTTAGCTGCATCGCTCATTTCTCAAGTGCAGTGCAGGACCTGTTATGTTTTCTTCTGTATGCATACCCCAGCAATTAAGGATAGTCCACCCTCTTGCAGTGTGGTTAAAACCGAGCACCTTACAACTTCTCGTGGTCTCGTACGATGAGAGAACACCCTGGTGCCTTCTATAGGGTAGTGGAGGAACACTTGAGATTTCCGCATATATTTCCTCTCTTGTAGTGCATCATAAACTTTTTAGGCTTGAAAAATTTCACAATGTTATGAGCGACCATTTCTATAGATAGTGCGCACATTTTATCTGGCATAGAGTGAAAAACCTTAACTCTAGTGAAATGGAGTTACAGGGCCACCTGATAGATGGCATCAGCGTGCTAGCTTGTACTCTCGTCCTGAGAGACCACAAGGCTGCACAGCGCACTCGGTTGCAACTAAGCACAGTGCGTGAACCAGCTTCGAGCCAGAAGCCTGCTTAGAAGGCTTGCAATTGTCGTGATATACCTAATATAAATTCCATCGTTAACACTATAACCTTGATTGTGTAACGAAGACTATAGAGGCAAGTTACGATGCTAGCATAATCCTGATTAAAGGGCTCAAAGGCGCCATATTTCTTAACGGGGAATTCGTATTACAATAGCTAGGAAATGCGAACAGGATTGCTTCTTAAACGTTTTTACTGCGTGTGTCCAACCATAAAGCCTCTGAAACGCAACGGTTCCTACGACAATAAAAGGAAAGTTATCTTAAAAAAAAAAAGCTTAGCTTAAAGAAACTGACGATTTTGTAAAACATAAAAAAACTTCAAAAAGTCTTCAATATCACGGATTCCTATCCTTTGGATAGGATAAAAATTGTTTCTTCAGGTTTATTGCTTTGTTAAGTGACGGCGCGTAATAGACAGCGCAATTCCAGTCGCCAAAACGTCCACGGCGAATCATACTGAATTGCACGGTAGAATACAAATACCTATATTTTCTTGTCAGCAGGTCAATTTGTAGCTTACTAGGCCAGCTCTCAGGGAAGGTAGGAATTAAAAAGTCGGAGGCGAATTAAAGTAAACATGCATTTGCAGTGGTGGACATACTGGTAACTCTAAAGCCACCAGAAATATACGTTATGCTTCTGGGCACTCTACCTGCTTGTAGAGTAGAGACTAGATCGTGACACGCCAGGCATGACGTCCTCACTCACAGTATTACACATGCTTATAGTCGGCTTTTGGTGATTCCAAAATAGGCTTCCTGCCATTACGGTTATCCCAATTAAAAATAATATTTATTGACCCTTCTGCCGCTGCAGATTTGCAAAGAAAATAAAGTGACAAGTTCAGAGATGCTGAAGATGCTTCATAAATACGCCGCTGGTTTCCAACGCCACGGCGTGAAGCCAGGCGACAAAGTGCTCGTACACGTGGACAATTTTCTGGAAAGTTTCATTGCCATGTATGGAGTCGTGTTTGCTGGAGGCGTCGTCATACCATCTGAGCTGGCATCAGAAGAAGGTAGGCAGGTTCAATCAGCCTTTGTTAAGCTTTTCATTTGGAGAGCATCGGTATCTATATTTAATAAGGTTCGCTTGCATCGGTACTTTTTCAAAAGAATTAGTATGATGTTGGTGTTGCTTGTCCCGGCAGCGTATTCCCGTTTGATCAAGGAGTAAGACCGTGGAGCAAGCAGAAGACGACAGTGACCCTTTCGGGCTCGTTGTTTATTTGAGGTAAGAAGAAAGCTTTCACCGAGGACGGCGGTGAGAGTTGTCTTCTTATCTCAAACCTAACCTTACCCAACCTAATCTAACCACTCTCACCAAGGACGGCGGTGAGAGATGTCTTCCCATGTCACAACTTACCTAACCTAACCTAACCTACGTCAGGTTAGGTCAGGAAATATCTTCCAATAGATCCATTAAGTCAAGGTAAATGCTCAGGAAGTTTGGAAGTTTCCAATTAATTCAATAGTTGTGTGCCATAGTTCTGGTTCTGGTTTTTACAACATGCCTATGTCTAAAATTGTAGCGTGTGTCAGAGCTTGTAGATTCCGACACTTACACTCTGGTCACCCTAAGTCGAGACTGCGGTGGAAGCGACGTCCGTGTTAGACCAGTCCTGTGCCTCTCTTTCGCCAGGTCATTACGCTCCAGGCCATGCCCTCGCGTGGAGGGCTAGGTCAGGTGATAAGAGGGCGGCGGCTGATTGGTCCGGGGGCAACGTAGCTCCCACCGTAGTCTAGCTTAAAGGCACACTAACACACCCAATTTTTTTGTTAATTTTTTTGCCAGGCGATTTAATATGGTTGTCGGAATACTACCCACTTGATATTTTGCTACAGTCGCGTATTTATGTTTTTTATAAAGCCGAAAATCGCAACTGCTCGAAACCGAAACCGAAACCGAAACCCACACCGCACGGAGAAGTGGAGAGGAGAGAGCGAGTGGTGGAAGTCACGTGGCTACACCCGACCGTGCGATTTTTTTTCCGCACGTAGCAGGCGAAATGCGCCGCGGGGTCCGTTCGCCGTGCGATTCCTTTGCAGTTATGTTCGTTCCGCTCTTTGTGCTGTACTTCAAGATGAGTTGTTTTGTACATTTAAGTGTTGGCAATTAGGAGTGAGTGTCTGCCCGTGGTGAATTCCCGTGATCGGCTCCGAAACCAATACGACCAAAATGTTGCATAAGGAGCTGGCTCACATGTCCAGCATCTGAAAGTAGCATTGTGCGGCAAAGTGCACAAGTTTCCGAAAAATCAACGAGTCGGGATCAATGGCTGGCTGCAATTCCTGTATAACAGTTATGGGAACCTCGGAAAGCGGACTCTACCCGATTCATACGCTCCTTGCATTTTGTCGAAAGTGACTACATTGAGTTCGCAGGTGTCAAATTGGAATCCGATACCATTTAGTTCAGGGACTTATTGTCCACAACCAATGTCTTTTTCAGTGACAATAGTAACAAAAGAAATGTAAACATCGCAAAATGTTTGACAAAAAAAAATGGTACGCATATATTAGAGACCGAACGCGTGCCCACTGCGTGTGAAGCGGACGTCTTTCCACTGAGCTACTGAAGAAACTGTTTCGTTCGTAGTAATGCAGCCAGTCGACTGTATATCGGAAAGTTTGCTGCCGTTTTCTCTTCCGCACATGCGCTCCCGGCTTGAAGTCGCGCAGCACCACGCATTGGCCACATTCGCACCTAATGAAGAAACCGTACGCGTGCGTATTCAACTCGAAGTGCGCACTTCGTGCTTGACGTTCGAGCGAGCGATGTCTCCAGCCACAAGAAAGGACGACGGCTCGGCGACGTCTTCGTGCAATCGGCTTGCTGGTCGGGCGTGTCGTAAGGTATGAATATCAGTTCTTTTGATCAGTCAGAAATTTCTCTTTCGAAGGAAGACAGAATTCGCCGGTACCGTGAACGACAATTCTGAAGTAAAGGTCCCACGCCCGTCGTCGGTGATGTGACGTCAAAGAGCTGAGTTGGTCTATATGTACGAAAACTAAGATTTTCCTGTTTACACCGCAACAACCTTATGTGCCTCAAAGTGAACCATACTGAACAGTGGTTTTGCTGGGGCAGACGAAATAATTGTTAAACATGATGAATAGCTTCTTTAGATGTGACTCAGAAAGACAGACGACTCACCGGTTTTGCTGTTCATTCAACGGGAAAAGTTCTCACTAGAAGGATGACATGTTTCTGTCTTCCTGATTTAGAAACCGCAGTCCGTGTCAGTTTGTTAAGTCGGGCAATGGCAGCTCATTCTTAAAAGGAGTCGTCACGTGAAACGTTTCCCTTCCGCCTCGGACGCAATATAATTCTATTCTCCCAAGAGAACTATACTCGGCCACAACTTTTCTTGGCAATGCAGTGGAGAGGAGAAGAGCCTGTGCAGAGCTTTATTCAGCGCTCAAAATGGGAGAGGGAACGCGTGCCTATACCATCCACTGCATTGCCAAGGAAAGTTGTCGCCGAGGATAGTTGGCCTATATATATCCTCGGTCATTCCTTCCAAGGACCATTTCTCCCAAACTCCCGAAGAGCCAAAGTTTTTGCACATTGTCACACAAAGGCCTGGATAATTGCTAAGCAGAAGCATCGCCAGTTGAGGAATGGCGCGAGCTTCCTGAATTGTGTACTTTCCCAACAAACGGGGGGCTATGTCCGCATGTAGGCTTATTCCCGAATAAAATTCCCAAGGGAAGGCACCGAGGCATACCGCGAGTGGCACCTGCTTTACTCGAGAACGCACAAAACGTTTTTTGGCTTTCACAAGGCATTTGGAATTAACTATTTATTCCGGTCGTTTGTTCTTCACAAATGTCGAAGCTTACGGTTTGACCTTGCTTGACAAAAGTACAAGGCTGGGGATCTGTTTGTCCTGTCCTCTCAGTTTTTAAATTGTGTTTAACTAAAAGGTGATGTGCCCGTCGCCTTGCAGCCTATGAGCCGTTCACCCCTAAGCTGACACACTGTCAGCTTAGGAATGAACGGTGGAAGCTACGTGTTTGATGGAGCAGTCACACGTCTATCGTTCGCCACGTAACCACGCTCTCGTTCATACCCGGGCGCAGAGAAAGGGACGGGTGATTAAAGGAAGGTGCTTGATTGGTTCTGGTTGGCTTACAGCTCCCACCGCACTCTCAGCTCATTCATGAACGAAATATAGTATCGTCGTGGTGCCGCGACGCCGTGGATCTTCGTGCCTGAAGTTCGTAACCCGTTGCCTTCCAACGATGTCTACACGCAAGGTTTTCTTCTTCGCCTTTCCAGCCCCTCTCTGTACGTCTGTCCAGCTCTTCGTACGAGGCTTTGCGTTTAGGTGGCCGTCGTTTATTTCCTCTGATGCTTTTTCCTACATTTCACCATGCAAAATAAATTTTCTCTGCTCTTCTAAAGCTTGCAAACGAATTTTCTAATTTGGGACAAAAGTAATTTTAAAAGTAATGAGTAATTTCCTCGATATTACTGCCTGAAAGTAATTCATTACTTTACTAAATTACTAGCCTAGAGAGGTAATTCATTACATTACTCATTACTCCAAAAGTAATTTAATTACTGTAATTCCGTTACAGTAATGTTATTAATGCCATCTCTGCTCGAGACGGTCGGTCGCATCCGCTGGTAACACCACACCCGGGCGCAGAGAAAGGGACGGGTCAGGTGATCAAGGGAAGGAGGTTGATTGGTTCTGTTCAGTTCCTAGCTCCCAACGCACTGTCAGCTCAATGATAAACGAAGTTTAGCATCATTATGATGGCGTGACGCCGTGAATCTCTCTTGTCTGGAGTTCGTGAGCAGTGACTTTCCAGCGATGTCTCTACACGTCAGCGTCAGCTTTTCTCCGCCTTTCCAGCCCGCCTTTGTTTGTCTGTCGAGTTCTTCGTACGAGCCTTTGCGGTCAGATGGCCATCTTTTATTTGCTATGATATATTCTTCATGACAATTCACACTTTAAAAAATTTTCCTCTTTTTTTTTAAAGCTCGGGCTAAGGGACTTTTTTCATTTGGGATAGAGCAATGAGTAAATTTCTCGAAGTTACTGTCTGAAATTAATTCATTACATTACTAAGTTACCAGCCTAGAAAACTCATTAATTATATTACTCATTACCACAAAAAGTAATTTAATTCCTGTAATCTCGTTACAGTACTGTCATTACTGCCATCTCTGTTCAGTGACCACTGTGCGGTGCTAGTTTGTGTTCAATAACATTGTATAAGACGTTGAGGCAGTAACATTAATGAGAGGAACGGTTCACGCATATACATGCAGTTTCGTCGTTCCCTGGATTTCAAATTTGGGCGCGCGATTTTCAAAGTGTACTTCAATTACCCCAAGGCAGTCCTAGTTTGTGTCCAGTAAGATTGCTTAACATGTTCACGAAATGCTCTCTAGTTAATACACCCTCATTGGTGCCAAAAGGCCACGGAATTTTCGTTCGGTGTGTTACTCGATCGGTTTAATACAAAACGCCTATGCGGACTCCATGGTGCGCGCTCGCACTTTTACCGTTCATTCAGCCCATCTGCTCCGAAATGGCAGCTTTGCGGCTCCAACGTCACACCGCAGCTGTCGCTGTGTTTTACCTTATGGGTAGCATAAAAGTTTAAAATTTTAAGTACATAATTAAGCAAACTATTTTCATCTGTTTCTTTTAATTCGGTTAGTCATTACCCCTTTCGCATGCCAATTCTTATTTAGACCCAGAGAAAGCCTGTCATAAACGGCCTCCAGCGGCGTTTCCCCTTTTCATATCCAACTGTTATATCTTAACACAGTTTGAGGCGAGTCCTTAGGTCGTATTAACTGAGTGCAGCCTTCGCGTTTGCAATTTTTTTACGTAAAAAGAGAAATTTCTGGCAATTTTTGTAATTTTGACAGACGAACTGCTGACAAAAATAAAGGACGGAAAGGCCAGTCACGTGCTCACCACACCAAGCGAAGCCGACCTGCTGAAAGAGTTAACTCAAGACACGCATATTCGGGTAAGTATACGTATATTAATACTGTAATACAGCGATAGATACCCCATCCACGAAATATGGGAGAAAACCCACGCCTAGTCATCGTAGAGTTCGGATCAATGATGACCTCGGCGTAAATGCGACTAGGTAGCTATGACAAGTTATAAGCGAACATTGCTGACTGGAAAACAGAGTCGTCTTTCCTTCATCGTCCCTCACCGCGATCACATGTTTGGCAGAAAAACCTAATCTAAAAATAGTGTTTTTTTCTACTTTTCTTATTTGGACACCGAAAGTTAACCAACTCTAATATTTCACCCTATTAGGGCCTCAATATTTGGGTGGGCTATCTCACGGGATTTCACGGTAGGTAGGCGTAACTCTTCACGCACGAATCATAACGTTTTGGTTCCATATTCATCTTCGTATCGACAAAAACGATCGAAGAAATCTCTTCTCGTTGATGGTGTACTTATCTTTGAATTTCATAAAAAATGCTTAGCGAGGCTTTGCAAACGTGTACTACGTTAAATGTGCCTATATGACGCCTGCCGTTTCAATGTACTACTCGTAAAATCAATTTGTGAGGATGGCTAGCTGTCGTTTTAACGTATTAAGTTGGAAATATTCGTAGAATATAAAAACGCTCTCTCATTTGATACTTTTGTTAATTTTCAGGAACGCTTTGTTGTAGCTGACAAGCCTGGATTCATTTCGGTGACAAATTTTAAGAACGTACCGGAAGAATGTTTTATTGACCTTCCAGTGGTCGATGTTGAAAAAGAAGTGATCGCTCTTTGCTTCACATCCGGCACAACGGGCCGCCCAAAGGCCGTCGAAGAAACGCACTACAGTTGTGTCGCTGGGCTCCAACTATACAGGTACGCAATATCGTCAATGCAGCACAAAAAAAGAAAGAAAAAAAACACAAAAAAACAACAACGATCTATTTTTTTTTGTTTTTATTACAATTTGAAGAAATATTGCACAATTTAATTAGAAACCATTATACTAAGAATTACTTCACAGACAAAACCTCATGATTGCAACGTTCCCACTAAGAGCGATTCAGTTAATTAATTATTTTGCACAGAAATCTGGGTGTGTCGTGTCGGCTGCGTAGTGGATATTGGACAAGTTTATAGTGCCGCGTGCATGGCGGAGTTAGCAAAGCACGCATCGTGCGTTTGCCGGTCTGAACGGGCTTCGCACTCTGCTTTGACCACTTTAGTTTTATTTCTTCTTCTGTACTCTCTTGGAATGTTTTAGCCCATTGTCGGCTTTCATCGTGTATTCTGGCTAGGAAGACTCTTGAACGTACCACGTCGATAAACGGATCAGTAAAGCACTGCTTCGGAAAAGTCCCTCTTCCGTTGCCAACGCAAGGGTAGTTGGAGTTTCTCCTTAAGTTTGTAGGCACATGTTCATCTCGTTAAATTATTATTTTTAGCTTTACATATAGGGCTGGGAACTAATCACTTTATTAATAATGTTATAATAAGTGTAAAGCGGTTTCTTTTCCCCTAGAAGCTAGTTCAGTTCCCGGAATAAATCTAGGTATACCGGATAATATGTGATTGAAGAATTCAAAATGGGATTGATGAAAAGATAGGGCTACCTGAGAAAGCCACCTTCCGCATGTCTTTACAGCTGGATGCCCGCTTCACGCCGAAGCTGAGAAGCGGCACCCCTGGTGCCGATTTCGCCTTTTGATGCATATAGCTGGAGTACGAGGGCAGCAGCGTTTAATCCTAATTCGTAATTTACTGTGTTCGATTGAACAAGGTGACGAAACTTCAAAATCAAATTGCTCGACGTGCGCTATTCGTAGAGTCCGTTCCCAGATGCGCACCAAGGATGTGGAAAAGGGAACCAGAAGATAACAATGCCGAGGATGGTGCCCGATACTCCTACATGGCTAAACACAACCCCCCCCCCCACCAAAAAAAAAAAAAAAAAAAAAAAAAACTCGTGTTTTTTTGGAGTAGCAGATTCTGCACCAGCCGGAGTAGAAGGCTGTCTAAACAAAAAACAAAAAAAAATATACTGTGCAAAAAAAAAAAAACGCACACTCTTTAAAAAGAACGTTGCGGCGAGCGCGTCCACTTTAAAGAGAAAATGACAGGGAATTTATGCTCGCCAATGTATTTACTTGTACATGACATATCACAGCCAAACTACCCAGAACACGATTTGCGGCTCGAAATTCGTTTTCTTTCCTCCCGAAAACCGCCGATCGAGAACTGGCCGGCTTGACTGGCGCTCACTCTCTTCTCCGTGGTCACGTGTCGTTTTCTATAGTATAGCCACAGCCACCAAAGATAATCAAAGTCGTGGGTCATCGGAGGCACACATTCAGTATTAAATATAGAAAACAAATATGATATACATTTTTTGTTGTTTCCAAAAAAGGCATTTACGTTGAATGAAAAAAAAAAAAAGTTTCAGAGCAACGTGATTTTCGGTAACTTTCTCCTCTATATTTCCTCTTCCTTCCCGGTCCAGCTTCGGTATCGGTTTCGAGCGGTTCCGTTTTTTTATTTCTTTTTACGTTATTAAAAATATAACTGACACTGAAGCAAAATATTGATTGGGTAGTCTTTTGACACCATAATTCGCGAGGTCGGGTGCTGCCGACAAAAGCGGAGGCCTTGAAGACAACCAGCAGAGTTTGAGTGGCTGTCCAGGCCCACGTGATAGGCTTGCTCCAATACTCGGTGCAAGAACAAAAAAAGTATATTATCTTTCGCCTCGAAAAAATAATTAATAAATTAGTCAGTTAAACATTTCGAAACAGACTGGAACCGGAGCAAAACCTCTACGTCTGGCACGGAAAATGCCAGTAACGGGATTCGCTCGCCAAACAAGTTTGACTTTCATTGAAGAGTACAGCGAAAAAGCTCAAGCACGCCGCACCTGATGTCACCACCCGCCGTCTCCTTCTGAATGATCAAGTCTGTCTGCTATGGTCATCGACTCCGAATAGACGAGCACTCGAGGACGGTGCCTGGAGCCAGCTACAGCTGCGCCATCTTCCAAATGCCGTCTTCTACCAACGCGGAAACGCTAACTTCGGCTCTAAGCTAGCTAGGCTTCCAAACAGACCGCTCTATGCGTGGTCAGCCCTCGGCTTCGTACTGTTTCACTCAAAGTAAAGACTTAGCGCAGATGGCTAATTTCATCCAGCGTTTGATATCTGAAGAAAAAGCCTTACACGAAAGGAATATCTATTTATTTAGTTGCCACCAAACTTTTTGTTTTCTCCTTTTTTCTGGGAACACGAGGCTAACGTATCAAACTGTCAAAAAATGGTTACAGATTGATTATGTATATAACGCACCGGTGATAATTTCAAGAGCTACGCACACTAACATATGTCAGCACTGCAAAAGGGCAGTCAATTACGAGGGCACCCCTGGCTTTGACTCGAAATTATGGTCAGTATATTTAAGAAATCTGTGAATTTTAAGGTAACGTATTTTCTGACTATCATTAAGCTTCAATTCCTCCTGACGAATACACCCGGAAGTACGTAGAAAATTTCAATCAGTATTTGAAGTTCTGTCATGCCCATGCCGAATGGTAAAAAAATGAAAGACGTTTACAACTCCCTGTAACGCCGAATCAGAGCGAGCACTTGAGAAAGAGGAGGGGAAGGTACGGAGAGCAGAGTATGCCCCGCCTCCTCATGCCTACCCTCTCATCCTCCCCCCCTCTTTTTCTTCTCCTCCCCAGCTCCATCCCTCCTCCCCCACGCCTCCTCCCTTCCCTTCTTCCTCCTCCCCTCTTGAGGTATTTTGTTTTCGGGAGAACGGAAATGTAGTTCTTATATTTGGAAACTCCACTCTGTCGAAGTTCTGCCGGTGCCAGGAAATAGGACAGCAGGAGCAAGGCGGGAGAACGAGACAGCGTTAAAGTCAACACCTTGACGAAGCACGTGATACTCTCGATGTCATCCTACTTGCTGTGGGCTCTGTCGAAGGCTGCTCGGCGTTTTTGATTTCCTCAGCATTAGTCTTGAACGTGCTCCCCCGAGATGGCACAGCACAACAGCGAGTGCACGTCCCTCGGGGCCAATTGGATGTTTTCCTGCATGACTGGTATGAAGCTCTTTTTTGTCTTGCACGAAATATTTAGTGAGTGCGTGGGCGAGAGATACAGAGCTACCACGAGCAAGTCGTTGTCGACCTTGGCGGCCTATAGTTTAACAACTTCGTCTAACGCGCCACAGATATCGATGGGTACAGCACAGACCCGAACCCATGTAGATGTCCACTTGGATAACGAGTATACACCACGCTTTCATATGTGCCTCCCTGTCATGTATGAATGGTGATATCACTCGCCTGCACAACTGGTAGCTGGCACCTCCCATCCTTCTCCCCCCTCTCCTCCCCTCCTCCTCCCCCTCCTACCATCCTACTCCTACCCTCCGTCTCCCTCCCTCCTCCTCATTCTCTTTTCCTCCTCATCTGCCTCCATCCTTCTTCTCCCTCCTGCTTTTCTCCTCCTCCCTTCTCCTCCTCCACACCTCCTTCTGATCTTCTCCCTCATCCTCCCTTGTACACTCCTCCACCTTCTCTCCCCCTCCCTCCTTCTCCCCTCCTTCTTCTTCGTGACGTCACTCGTGGCCCTCGTGACGTTACTCGAGACGTCACGTGGGACCTCATTATGGGAAATGTCCCATAATGCAAAGCGTGGTTACGCCGCTCAAGCCGGAAACGCACTGCTTTAAGACGTACACTTTGCATTGAAACGACATATCGGGTGACTCAAGTCACCAGGCTCGTTCTAAAACGGACCATAAAAATCGATGCCTGCACGTAGCAATCTAAACTTTTCGTCAAACGTGTATTTCACAAGTCGTTTTTTTTTTTTTTTTGTAAAATTACAAAGCGTAGCTTTCTTTCTGTAAAAAACAGGGCTAAGAAACTCTCCAGGGTCTACGGCGGGCGGCGACGGATAAGATCATTGCCAGTAGCGGGGTGTGTTTGGCGTTCGTATTAATAGATGGCACTACCTCCTTATCGCGACGGCTCGCGACCGCCGTGGTTTATTAAAATGAACATACTCTTTTTCAAATGTACCATTGGTTAAAATAGAAATAGGGACAACATAAACAAAACTTAAAGTAGAAAAAACGCGTCTGCATAACGACGGCGCTTTTGCTGCCAAGGGTTTTCGTCTGCCTGTCGTCTGCTTTCTTGCGTTGGTCGGTTGCACCTTCGGCCGCTGCTCAAGACTCCATATATCAATACGAACGCCAAACACACTCCGCTACTGGACTTGGCCGTCCGCGTCGCCGCCCGCCGTAGACCCTCGCAAGTTTCTTGGCTCTATTTTTTTACAGGAAGAGAGGTACGCTTTCTAATTTTACAAGAAAAAACGGACCCATGATATACACCTTTGACGTGCAGGCGCCGATTTTTACGGTCCATTTTAGGTCGAGCCTGGTGACTTGGGTCATCCTATATGTAAGCCGGTAAACGTTCCCCCCAAAATATGCTGTTTGTAATAAAAATAGACCTCTTGGGGGAACAAACTACCAATCTTGGCGGACGTCATGGATTGCAAAATCATACTAATTAGAAAAAATAATGAACTAAAATTTAATAAATAATTTTTTTTAATTCGTTCTTTCAAGCATATGGTTTTATTGAGAAACTTGCTAACCATCATAGAAAGCCACCGAATAAACTCTTTTTTAGAAAGATATTAGGCAGCGAGCGGCCATTTACGGAGTTCAGTAAAAACGTTCGATTCGGACGCGCTTCTAGGTTTCGGTTTCTTATTGGAGCGCATCTCTGCGCGCGCGGTCCTGCTCCCCAGTGGCCGAGACGCGCAACACACTTGCGCCATATACTTCCGTCCATCCTACAAGGGAGGCGAAGCGGTGGCTTCGCGCCGAAGGACTGCGGGCTCAAAGATGCCCTCCAATAAGAAACCGAAACCTTGAAACGTACCCGAACTAAGTGTTCTTTCTGAATGCCGGAAAATACTCCCCCTACCTTATATCTTTCTAAAAAGAGCTAATTTAGTTGTTTACAATGATGCTTAGCAAGTTTCTCAGTGGAACCATATATTTAATTTCACACAAAAAAATACCAATAAGCTTTCGCTAATTACCTCGCTGATCGGTATGCTTTTTCGAAATTCTTGATGTCCGCCATGACTAATAACTTGTTCCTTCAAGTTTTTTTTAACTCTTGAAAAGCATATTTTTATCAATTTTCGCAGAAACACCCTGCAAATGTACCCCGGCATACGTTCCTTTTTCGAGTGCCTAAACCAGTGGTCTCAAACTCATTCGAGTGTGGGGGCCAGAAAGCCCACACCGGAAAAACCGGGGGCCAACGTAAGAAAGGGGGGGGGGGGGGGGGGGTTAAGAAGATTTTAATAGGAAGAGACCTGGTGCCCTATGCTTTTCGTAAACTCACGGTTTTGACGGTGACATTTTTAAATTGGATTTGTTTATATGACTACTTTGGGCCCCGACGTGATGTGATGACAGAAATTAAAATTACACTGCCCCGCCAACGTGCTGGCATTTTTAATACAACAAGAGAGCAAGCAATCTGTCGTTCCCAGTTCAACATGTCTTAAAAAAACAAACAAAAAAACAATCATTTAATTTTGGAAGTTCTTTAATTCCTCATAATTTTTATTATAACACTCTTAACAAATACTTTTAATTGGAATATTTTTTTGAAGGTGAGAATCCCGAGTTCATAGCTTTACCTTTGGCACTTGCTCCTGCTAAGGGAGAGTTTGCGCAGCCGACATGCATTCTTCAACGAATAGGTCGAGGTTGCAGGCTAGCAGCGGAATTGTTGTATATTACTAAAAGCTGGGAACCAAGAATTAAAGCGAAACAAAGGGCAAATAAACACAGAGCATTATAAAATATGTGCATACGTTAAAAGTTAAGAGCTATATACCTTCCGAGCGAAAATGAATCGACGAGATGAGATCACTATGACACATGTCATTTCTAGCGCTCGAGATATGGAAACCGGGACTAGCAGCCAGTTGCCTGCGTGCCGCTTCTCAGCAAGTCGCGGGCCGCATTGGGCCCGCGGGCCGCGTGTTTGAGACCCCTGCCCTAAACGTACAACTTGCACTGATGCTCAATAGTGCACTATGTACGCCATGCTTATTTTTAGCTGGAAGGCAGATTCACCAAGATATGTTACAATCCATATTGCAAAGCGAGAACCTTGAATTTCGATTTCTCTTTTTAATAAGTGGCGATTTGCCAAACTGTTGGCATTTTGTATTTCAATGTTGCCGTTCAGAGCTCCCCACCAGTGTGAACCTGGTGAATCGCTCCGATTTCATTCAGACTCAACATGATGTTTGACGAGACGGAAACCGTTGGAGCGCTGTTCGCTGTCGCACAGACCGTTGGATTCCGAATGCTCATGAGAGTTGTCTGCTCCGGCGCCACGTGCGTCATCATTCCCGAAGGAACAAGCTTTGCCGAGACGGTGGACGTCGTGCGGAGACACAAGGTAATACAGTTCGTCTATTCTGGAAAAACAAAAAAAACTGAATATTGTAGTACCTGTTAATATTGCTGCGTGCGAATTGGCAACGCACGCAACTGCCACGCGGACAAACGAAGTTCAAACCCGCTCGGCCACGTTCTTTCTTTTACCGATGCGTGCTCTTCCGGAAAGTTCCAGTCCATTTTCGGCTGTTCCGAGCGACATTCGATGGCTATAAAATATTTATTTTTCAAGATCGAGTATCTAAGTACTTGCTAGAAATGCTTCTAAAGTTTAGTTGAGCGAAAATGAAGGTCTTAGCTTTACATTAGAAAACGGTAACCTTTATACCACTTCACGGTATTTTTCAATACCCTCATGAGTGTTGAAAAACAGTTTTATTGTGTGTTTTATTTTTTCGCCTTTTACTGGAAAATGTGTAATCATGTGTGAAGGGCCCGGACATGCTGATAAAGTGTTCACTCTACATTAAAATATTCGTTCTTCTCCCGAAACAGAAGAAAAAATAAGGAAAACATGAATGCTAATATTGAAAACCTGTTCGTTGATCGCGCCCACTGAGCACCTACGAATTATTTTTTGTGCCCTTCCCACTAGCGCCAAAGATGTTAGATAAGTTGAAACAAACAATAAAAAGTAAACAGACTGATAAAACTGCTAAAAATCAGCAGCGTTTTTTTAAGTAATGGTGCCATCCTTCACGCGGTCTCTTGTTATCGCATTTTTTCAAGTACGCTTAAACTGTTTATTAATAAACATCGTGCCCTACTGAAAAAAACCATTTGGCGCCTATATGAAAATAAACGGGTTCATACCGGTAACAGTTTAACCATACCGGTCACCAGTTTGTCAAAGGGGTCGCCCGTATGGCTCAAAGGGGTCTCCCGTATGAGCCATAACGGTCACCTATTTGGACAAACAGGTCACTCCTGTGTCAAACGGGTCACTCCTCGGGGCAAATGGGCGACTCGTTTGGGCAAAGTTGTCGCACGTTTGCTCAAACCGGTGACCATGTTGCGAACTGTACCGGTTTAATCAAACGGCTCTCCGGAGCCCGTTTGATACTGAACGTACAGATCGGCGGCGTGGGCACACCTAGCGTTTCAGCCGTAGCAGCCAATGTTTCCGGAAGGCTGGGAGCGCCGGTTCATCGATTTCAGATCGTCCGCGTAATGCAAGTAATTATATTCATATTTCAATTGCGCTGATGTTCGCTTATACTGCAACTAAAACTAACACTTTTTTTTTTGTTGTTGTTTTACGTAAACGCGCGAAGTTGGTGAGCCGATATTTTTGACAGAACTTTAAAACTTTGTCCACCTTTGTTGCCTCAATTTACTTATTCAGCTCAAATCTCTCTCGCAAAAGACGCGACCGCGTGAAAGAATGTACGTCTAGACTCCGTTTCACTTTAATTCAAGACGCAGCGAAGGTAGCACGCGTACACGCGGCTGCAAGAACATCGAGCATTGCGAGACCACGCCCGCCGTTGCAGCAGTCAAACTACGAGCTCGCGCTGAGTACTTTCTTCGCTCAAGCGCAAGCCGAGCCTCTAGCCGCCCCGCTGCCATTTCCAAGGTTCGAGCGTGCTAAAATGCGGGCGCGCGTATTTTTTTTTTTTTTTTTTTTTTTTCGAGGTTACAAAAACACATCTCACTGGAATGCCTGGGAAGGGGGAGAGGGACTGTCCCTGTGGTCCTCGCCCCCTCCCTCCTCTCTTGTCACCCGTCACGTGACTCACAGCCGCGCGCGAGCTACACGAGGTCCGGAAGGGTGCGCCTAGCAGCCGCTTTTTTCTTTGTCTGCTTGTTGTCAGTTCCAGCTCGAACTTCGCGCGTCCACCTGCTTCGATCTGTCGCCTAAAGCGCGATCCAAACCAACGCTTCTTTTTGCGCCTGTAGGTCGTGCGGCTGCGGATGTGACGCATTCCGCGTCGTTTTTGCTGTTTCCGGGCGCGCTTTCTGAGTCAGAAGCGTGCGCTTTGGTTTGGACGGGCCAGCTACGGGCGGGGGCGCACGCGCGCACGCAGGCACGAGCGCACAAGCAAAGTGCAACAGCGACAGACTGGCCGGCGAGAGAAAGAGAGAGGGAGAGAGATCGCGTTGTCATGTTGGAAGAGAATAAAAGGGGGGGGGGGGGGGAGGAGAGGGCAGCCAGACGGCGAGAAACGCGGAGCCGGAACTAGCTTGCCCTCCACCGATTGGCCGGGACACAGGCGCGGCCTGCTACGTCACCGCGCTTTTTTGTGCGGCTTGAGAAAGAAGTTGAAATCAACCAACTTCTTCGTGCGCGCCCGGAAGGAGCGAAGAAGCGGCGCGACGTCACGAAAATGCGTCACATCCGCAGCCGCACGACCTACAGGCGCAAAAAGAAGCGTTGGTTTGGATCGCGCTTAAAGCGCGATCCAAACCAACGCTTCTTTTTGCGCCTGTAGGTCGTGCGGCTGCGGATGTGACGTATTTTCGTGACGTCGCGCCGCTTCTTCGCTCCTTCCGGGCGCGCACAAGAAAGTTGGTTGATTTCAACTTCTTCTCAACGCGCACAAAAACGCGCGGTGACGTAGTAGGGCGCTCCTGTGTCCCGGCCAATCGGTGGAGGGCAAGCTAGTTCCGGCTCCGCGTTTCTCGCCGTCTGGCTGCCCTCTCCTCCCCCCCCCCCCCCCCTTTTATTCTCTTCCAACATGACTACGCGATCTCTCTCTCTCTCTTTCTCTCGCCGTCTGGCCGGCCAGTCTGCCACAGTTGCACTTTGCTTGTGCGCGCGTGCGCGCTCGCCCAAAGTTTTGCCCGTCCAAACCAAAGCGCACGGTTCTGACTCAGAAAGCGCGCCCGGAAACAGCAAAAACGCCACGAAATGCGTCACATCCGCACCCGCACGACCTACAGGCGCAAAAAGAAGCGTTGGTTTGGATCGCGCTTAACTCTGCGGTCTTATTAGGATGTCTCTCGACAACGTATTGGATGTGCACCAAATCTATCAGTGTTCGAAAAGTCCTAAGTCTATATCGGCAACAAGCGATTCTTCAAAGAAGTCAGGAATTCTTGCGGTTTGGTTGGGTTCGGCAACTGGCAGCGTGTGCGCCACATCGTGTTGAAACTTCCAAGAAACCGTTCCCTCTCATTTGTGTTTGTGTGGTTGTCCTGCTTTGACCGTGTCGACAAATATCACGGATTACATCTTTGAAGTCCGCTATTTTTATGGTAAGTGCACTGCAACCTACTTCTTGGCAACGATTGACCGTTCTTCTGCTCATACTCTTCCAGATTATCTATATAATTATGCAGCCACTATTCTCGCGGCAGCCGGGCGAATAATTTCTCGGAAGTCAACCTTCATAGTCTAGAATTACCTCGGTTCTTGTTTGCTTTGCTACCTTCTCAGTTATATAAAAGCTTAGAGTGCCTCTCACATTTCACAGATCGCTTGCACGTTTGTACTTGTCTACAGAAGACGTAATAAACTTTGAGGAGAATTGAAAACAATCTTTGGTGTCTGTTTTTCTGTCCATTTGCAAGCACCTACGTGAGCACATTTGTTCTGCCTGTTTCCTTCATGTTATAAATAGGTTTATGAGTTTTGGAACGTCTTAAATAAGTTTAAGATAACCAGCCTACCAGACGATCCCCGTTTAGGGCTAGCGCATAATTTCACGATTCGAATGGCACGTTCAAACGTGTGGTCACGTGCAAGGTCGAACGGGCACCTGTATCAAACGGGCACCTGTATCAAATGGGTACCGTTTCAAACGGCTACCCGTATCCCATAATCACGTTTGATCCAAACGGGTCGACAAGTTTGCACCCGTTTGATTTACCAGTTTGCCACCCGTTTGAATTTCGAATGGTTTTTTTCAGTAGGGTGTACAGAGATTTCAGACGCGATTTCACCATTGTGAGGAACTCGCCATCAATTCATGAAAAAAGACACGTTACATGTCTACTCAAAGAAAGGCCTGCGCTGGTATTCTGAGCGTGATCTTCATGCAGGCATGTAATATCACAAAGTCGTCTGTATTCTTCCTCAAATTTTAAACCTAACCCACACCTGGTTGTCGTTTTCTTGTTTGCTTTTCCACACGGGTATAAGGTTAAGTAAACGAATGGGCTCTATCAAAAGCAAAAAGTTGCAGTGTTGAGTACCTTCTTTCCGTCCTCGCTGTACATTTTTTTAATTATTTCTGAACACGACAAACTCTAGCTCTAATGGTCCTGGCACTTTATGTTTCATCTGCACATAGTTTGAATGCAGAATAAACGGCTCGGTCAAGCTTGGACGCTGGAGAGCTAAAGTTGCGGAACGGGATTTTATGTTGGGCGAGTATGCCACTGGGCAACCCTCTTAATGGGCAGGGTTTTCTCAAACGATCGGAAGTTATTAACGATAGTAATATTAATAGCTTTATTCAGCACGTAAGCATGACAGGGGCTAAGAAATAAAACCTACCCAAGCCGCTTAACTGGCCCTAAGCATAGTATGAACAAGCTTTAAGATTTCCATTCGAAAATTCTGTTTGGAGACCCAAATCAATCAGCGACCCTAGCCCTGAAACAAACTGATTACGGCACGTCCCGCATGCAACCCTTGGGTCGTATGTGGTAAAAACCTTCATTGCAGAATTAGCAACTTTTTGATTGTCAACATATAGCTCATTCTAACCTCTCCAGCGAATTTGGATAGCAGAGCGCTTCGAGTAAAATCATTGCTGCAGCGACAAAGGCATCTTGAATGAAACCTTGCTTCAACAAACAACGACAGGAGCAGATACGACGGCGAATTTATTTGTCCATTTCGGTCATTATGAATTTTATTCCGGAACAACCGCGGCCATTTTAGATAAATAAGTACACCGTGCTGTCAAGTACGGGACCGCTTTTGATTTAAGATAGGAAGCAGAAATCGTTAAGGAAGCGCTCGATCCTGGCAATTTCTTCAAATTTACTTCCAAATTTATGCACAAAACGTGACACTGTGAGGGACACAGCAAGGACGAAACAGAAATTAAACCCAGGTGTGAGAGCAATCTGCTCTTTTTAGTTATCTCTCCACCACTTAACTGGCTTGTGAAATTCCACTGTGCTAACCCCTGCGTGTATCAGTAACTAGGAGCAACAAAGATAAATTGAGGTACAGCCTTCTCAGTTTTTGCACGGCCATATTTCGCGCATTTCTGAGTTCGCAACAATATAGCTTATTTATTTATTTATTCAAAATATCTCGAAGGCCTTTCGGCATTAAGTAAGAGGGCCAATAGGGTTGGATAAAAACATGAAGAATAAATTACGACACATACCGCACTTCATTATATTAACATCAGTACAATATCACAGATATAAGTATAGGTCACAGATCATAGAATTGTTGAATGCTAATGTTGTCCAAAAAATACGCTTGAAGCTATTAATGTTAAAGTTTCGTGATTTCTATTAATTTGTTCTAGAAGACAGCAGTAAGTTCCACCGGGCTATAGCATAATCTGTGGATTAAGCATAGAAAAGAAATTGTACGGTGCGTTTCCGGCAAGGAAATCAAATAATTTTGTTTTATTAATGATAAGCTGTCGAAACGCGAGTATAATGATGAAATGAAACGAGCAGCTCTGTTTTAAATATATTTGATTTGATTAATAAAAAAGGTTTGGTGAGGAGACCAGATGGCGACACATATTCTAACTTCGGGTGGACATTTGTATCGTAAGATAATGTACGAAGGTGAGGGGGAGCAGATTTTAGATTGTGCTTTAAATAACCGAGTGTACGGAATGCTTTAGTGGTAATCGTGTTAATATGGAGCACCTAAAAAAGGTTTGAGGTCAGTTCAACACCGAGGTACTGGTAAGCCAAAACGGCGGCGATGGGCGAATCCTTAAGTGAATATGTGAAGTTTCAGTTCGATCGTTTACCGGTGAATGAAACAAGTTTGTATTTTAGCAGTGATAAGGGCCATTTGCCATTTGGAGCACAAGCGTACTACTTGGTAAACATCGCTTTGAAGACGCAGATGATCATCAGGATTGTTAAGATTTTTGCATAGCACACGCTTGTTAGCATACAGATGCACACCCTATGTTAGTGACTGTGGGAAGTCGCTAATGTAGATTAGAAATAAAAGGGGACCAAGGGCAATACCTTGTGGAGCCCCAGAGGTTACAAATAAAAGCTCAGAAGTGAATTACCGGCTACGGTTGCCTCCTCTCTGAGGGAAAGGGAGTTCTGAATCCAGGAAAGGGTTAGGTGGTCGATGCAGAGTGGGGAAGGTTTAGATTTTGGACGGCGGTGCGGCACGCTGTCGAACGCTTGGGAAAAGTCTAAAACAAAGGCATATGTCAGGGTTGGACCTTTTAGGGTGCAGAAGCATTTAATATAGTAAAGGGAGTTTGTAAGAGCAACAGTGGTGGAACGGCGACGGAAAAATTTACATACAGGTTTCAACTAAACTACAACAATGCATTTATCACTATGATTATAGCTTTTTTTGTTCTTTTGTTTTTTGCCAGCAGATCACGACGCTTTTTGCTAGCACCACAGCCCTACACCTGCTTGCCAGGCACGTGGTCAAGAGCGGAATACGCCTTTCCAGCGTAAGGAACGTAATAGTCGTCGCCGTTCGCGTAACAGAAAATGCCCTAGAAACGATGCTTTCAGCGTTCTGCATAAAAAGCTTCAGGAGCATGTACGGGACGACGGAACTCTCGAATGTGATCTCCTGGATGCCACGCGACACAATGGAACATAAGACAATCGGTTTTCCTGCTCCAGACGTGCAAATGAAGGTAGGTGAGTCCCTATTAAACATAAATAATAAAAAAACGTACCATGATTTGTCTAACAAACGTATCAGAACTTTAGTAAATCGTATTAAGCATCGATTGGTTCTTACATCATCAAAACGATATTGCCCCTAGATGGTTAGTATCTTCTGTGGCGAACACAGAATCAGAAAACATTTCAGGCCTGGAAGACTGACGAATGGTCTGCAAGGGCCTAAGCGTCCTAAGCGTTTCCTGATTCTGCGATCGCCGCAGAAAAACCTGACCGTCTAAGTGCACTTCAGCTTCTGACCTTACTTTTCCGAAGTTCTTGTAATTTCTAGAAAGGTTAGTTCATCCCGAAGTTCTTATGCAATCTCATAGGTTCTGACATGTTTAATGAACACATTCATACCACTTTTTCACCAGAAATGTAAAGGACTAATAAATATACTCGAGATATTGTTTTATTTTTATAAACTTATCGTCGCTTTAAATTAAAAAAAAAAACAGGTTGTTGATATAGACACTGAAAAAGTTCTTGGACCTAAGGACCACGGAGAGCTCTGGGTTAAATCACCCACAAGTATGAGAGCCTACTACAACAACCCAGACGCGACTGCTGAAGTGATCACTCCGGAGGGATGGCTGCGAACAGGTACCGCATTGAATACTGGAGATTTTTTTTACAATTAAGTTCACCTTATTTGGTCTCAAGGGATATTCGAGTATTAACGTCTTGTCCCAGTATATTAACAAGAAACCAACTTTGAGCCTCCACAACCAGCCCTAAACAAAAACAGTATTTTCAACAAGCGGTACTTGAAGAAGGTTGCTCGAGAACGTGGAACAATAGTTGTTTCCCTTGCAAGTAGACGACGCCTTTTCGCTTCGTGCTGCTAAGATGCAGGTGAAACAAGCATAAGCATTCCCTTCTTACACGAGCACCGACTCCACAAGGTGGCGACTAGAAGCGCTTTTCGCGAGTCATCCAAGACGCAGACAGAAGGCGTAACTAAGAAAACGATAATTATATAGAAAATGTACATACAAGTAAAGTCACGTAACCACCGTTCACGTTCCCGCGAGCCATAACGCTCTAACAAACCAATAGATTTCCGGATCTTTTACCGGTTAGAAAACTTCCTCCCTCCCTTCCTCCCTCCTTCCTCACCTCCCCTCCACCCCTCCACCTTCCACCCCCCCCCCCCCCCCCCTGCCCTGTTCGGGTCCAAGAACGCACGTGCATAACGCTGTCCGCGTTGTCCTGTCGTGGTCCCGATTCACCAAGACTGTCAGAATGGCTGTCTCGACTGGTTGATTGCTTTTTGAAAGACCAACATATCTTTAGAGGCTACTGCCCTATTTAGGCAGCTTTTCTTCGTTCCACCCCCTTTTTTTTTTTTTTGGTTTTCCGCGTCGCTAAATTATTAACAAAAGAACATTAGTCAACCTGTGTAGATATAACTGTTTGAATAAGCAAAGCGCGTCGGGGGCTAACGGCTGCCATTTGATTTGCAGGAGACATCGTCTATTACGACGAAACTGGAAGATTCTACGTCGTAGAACGTATTAAGCAATTCTTTCACTGCATGGCATGGCAAGTTGCCCAGTCGGAAATCGAAGCCGTTCTGTTGTCTCACGAGGTTGTCGAGGAAGCAGCCGTGATCGACGTTCCACACCCGGAATATGGCGATGTGGCAAAAGCTTTTGTCGTCCTGAAGCCGTCTTACAGAGTACCCGGGAGAACCAGGACCCAGGACCTGCAACGCTTCGTCGCAAGTAACGGAATTTCATGATTTGAGAACGTTACAAACGCCGCACACGAATTGACGACCTGACCGCAACCTTTTAAAGTCCGACCCCAGCCGACACCGCGATCTATCGGGGCCAATCAAGCGGCGCTAAAAACTGCATACATCGTCACGGCGCCCATCGCCCTTGTATGCTGCCTATCACCGACTGAACCAATCATGCGCAGTGGTTGGCTGGTTTATATCCTAGGTGGCGCGAGCTACCGCCCGTTATAAAAAGTACAGCCGTTACATCCATTCATCCATCCACCTAGTGAATGCGCCGCGATCCTGCGTTTTCTTTTTCCTGTGCGAGATTGGTCGACCGGGTGATCTCCAGCCCCCAAAGACGACAAACGCCATGATGAGGCACATTTCACGCTCCTTGATTGGCTCCAGCTGATCGTACAGCGCCGACTGCGTTTGGACTTCACAGAGACCATAGGGAGTTTTAGCGAGTCGTTTCCACACGAACGGTCCGTCCTCAAACGCATTGGCACCGCCAATGCGCATGCGCGCGCGAGTCGTGGGGGCTTCGGTAGGTTCCTCTTGTTCGTTTCTCTCACTCGGGCTGCTGAAGTCGTCAGTGAAGCCCACTGACGGCTGCGTTGCATGCTACGTATGAAACGGAGTATAATCTTGAATAAGCTGCTGCACCTTCACTCACTCCCAGAGACGCACCCAACGACAGTTTTAGAAATATGTAAAATGCAGACCGTATCGTTAACGACTCGGGTATAAAAAGATGCCGGTCCGTTTGTCCGCCGCCCTACCTGAGCGCTAGGCTTGGGACAGCGGGAGGCAATTTGCCATCCATGCTACTCTGGTTCATTTGAGAGGTTGAACCAAATCATTTCGAGGACGGCTCACGATGGTAAGCGATCACGAATGCTGTAATCTACGCATGCTAGTAATTTGTTTGCGATCTGCGTGCTGACAAACTTCGACGGCATACAACCTTGAACAATCACTTAAGTTCAAGATGACAGAGACACACCACCTACCTTTGCGGTCGTTGAGATACTTTTTACTCTAACTAGCTTTGCAGGTTTTGAAATTCCGAACGGTAAATGTTCCGTCGGTCGTCTTGTTTACACCAGTCGATCGCACGCCGGAATTACGGGCCGCCGCGGTTTGGCGCCCTGCAGAACGTTTCATATGTTTACTAGAAGATGACGCTGCCTGTAAAATGCAATCAACATGGTCATCATTTGCATGGTTGCGCCAGTTTACGATCCGCTGAAATACGTTAAATTTCACGCATGGAACAGTGCGCTCCGAAAGCGGCTCGCTAAAACTACTACTGGAGATTTTTAGGAAACCGTTTTCGCACATCCGATACGTGTCGAGTGCCTTGCGGCGCGATGAAGGAACAGACAACGACGTAGTTCACAGCTTAACGAAGCGTGAGTTTATTCCGTGCGCCGTATATATCGCCACGCGTCGTACCTTCGATACGAGGCAAGCGAACGCGAGCATGCGCGCAGGTCAGCGTGATAACAGTCAGGATGACACCACAATACGGTGAGATGGGCGCTCCGGTACGAACTGCGCATGAGCTAAAACAGAAGACTCGCACATGCTCAGTTCGTACCTGAGGGCCCATCGTACCGTATCTCATGTTCAAAAACGGTTCCCTAAAAGTATCGATTAGGGAGGTTTAGGGAACCGTTCTTGCACATCCGATATCATACGATGGGCCCTCCGGTACAAACTGCGTATGTGCGAGTCTTCTGAGGTAGCATACGCGCAGTTCGTACCCCAGGGATCATCGTACCGTATTTGATGTTCAAAAAAGGTTCCCTAAAACTATTAGGGAGTTTGTAGGGAACCGTTCTTCCACAGCCGATATCGTACGATGGGCCCTCCGGTACAAACTGCGTATGTGCGAGTCTTCTGCGGTAGCATACATGCGGTTCCTACCTGAGGGCCCATCGTACCGTACCTGGTGTTCGAAAACGGTTCCCTAAAACTATTAGGGAGTTTTTAGGGAACCGTTATTGCACATCCGATATCGTACGATGGGCCCTCCGGTACAAACGGCGTATGTGCGAATCTTCCGCGGTAGCATACATGCGGTTCCTACCTGAGGGCCCATCGTACCGTATCTGATGTTAAAAAGCGGTTCGCTAAAAGTATCTATTAGGGAGTTTTAGGGAACCGTTCTTGCACATCCGATATCATACGATGGGCCTTCCGGTACAAACTGCGTATGTGCGAGGCTTCTGCGGTAGCATACATGCGGTTCCAACCTGAGGGCCCATCGTACCGTACCTGATGTTCAAAAACGGTTCCCTAAAAGTATCTATTAGGGAGTTTTAGGGAACCGTTCTTGCACATCCCATATCATACGATGGGCCCTCCGGTACGAACTGCGTATGTGCGAGTCTTCTGCGGTAGCATACACGCAGTTCGTAGCTAAAGGCCCATCGCACCGTATCTGATGTTCGAAAACGGTTCCCTAAAACTATTAGGGAGTTTTTAGGGAACCGTTATTGCATATCCGATATCGTACGATGGGCCCTTCGGTACAAACGGCGTATGTACCGGAGGGCATGCCGCCGAAGCTGCGGGACGTGTGCGGTAGCTGCTCCGCTCGCGTTTGCGATAAGCAGAACTTCTTTGGTTGTGCAGGCGGTTGCAAACGTATAATTCATTGCGACTGCGTTAATGTTGGTCCTGGCGAATACGAAGTGCTTATGCAGTCAGGAAAAAGTGCCTACAAGTGCAATAAATGCACTCGTCGTCCTCGCACAAGCTCGAAGGATGGGTATGACTCAGACACATTTTCTGAGGACCCCGAAGAGGTCGTCTCTGCTACCAAGACCGGCATCACCGGGGAAGGCTCCATCCAGCGAGTTGTTGAACGCTGCATGAATACCATCGGCATCAAAATGGAAGTACTGACAGCAGAGGTGAAGTGCCTCAGAGAAGAAAACAAAGATCTTCGTTCTGAGGTTTTCGACCTCAAACGAAAACTTCTGGAACGACTTACCGCACCGGTACCACCAAGGACTCAGTATTCGTCCGTCACGGCGGAATCTAATGCGGCCGCGTTGCCGAGGCAATCCTCGAGTTCATCCGCGGCGGCGCCGAGGGGCGTTCTCCCGGCAGTTGACGCACAAGTGCGTCAAATCAACTCGAACGGGCAAGACTCGTCACAAGCTGCTGGTCTACGGGAGATTCCACGCCAAGGTGAGCACCTGAGTGCGACAGAAGTGCCCGATGGCTTCACGATCGTGAACAGACGCCGAAGAGCCAAACCAATGGTTGGGACTGGAAAGGCTTCGAAAGTGGGCGTAATTTCCCGCCCTCGGAAAGCAGCATTGTTTGTTTCGCGTCTGGCTCCAGACACGACAGCTTCTGACGTTCTTTTACTCGTCGAACCTTTGTTGAAGGGAAATCCGATTTGCTGTTCTAAAATGAAGACCAAGTATGAGACGTACTCTTCCTTCCATGTCGAGGTGAATCAGGACTCATTCGAATTAATTAGCAGACCGGAAGTGTGGCCCGATGGTTGTGTTTTTCACCCGTTCTTTGGAACGTTGGACGCTTCGCGTACGAGCACATCTGAAAACAATCATGCCAAGATGAATGATGGAGACATTTAATGCGTACTACCAAAACACTCGTGGCTTACGAACCAAAGCGGACACATTTCTGCCAAATGTAGTCTCTTCCAATTTTAATATCATTTGTTTAACTGAAACATGGCTCAACGAGGAAATTTCAAGTGCAGACTATTTTCCGCCTTCTTATACCGTCCACCGTCGTGACCGGGATTATGCTTTAACTCGCCAGAAATTCGGAGGCGGTGTATTAATCGCCGTAAATCAGTCAGTTACCTCGCATCGCAGACAAGACCTTGAAACCTATCCAGAATGCGTTTGGATAGAATTGCTTTCAAATGATGGTTGTAACTACCTAATTGGGAATTATTATTTCCCTCCCCTATCGGATAATCGTATTTTAATGAACACTTTGATACATTGGAAAAAGAAATTGACTTTTCAAAGTTCAGGGTGCACATTTATGGTGATTTTAACCTACCTGGTGCCAACTGGCAGTCAGGATTTGTTACTAGTCAAAACAGTATAACAGCAAGCAAGTTGTCTCACCAATTGAATGTCATACACTTTAATGGGCTTGGTCAATTAAACGGGTTTGATAACAGCGCTGGGAACGTCCTTGATCTTTTTCTTTCAAATGTGCCAATCATCGGCTTAACTCTTGCCGATGTTTCACTTGTTAAGGTTGACGCCTTTCACCCCCCCTTTATTGTTGCCTTCCATAATTCGTTGAAATCTGCAGCTCTCCCAAAGCAGACGTATTACTCCTTCAACACAGGCGATTATTTTGGTCTTTATAGGTTTTTTTGAAAATTACGACTGGTCATCCATTTTGAAGGACGATTCTGTCGACTCAGCGGCCAAGTCGTTTACGACGGTAGTGAGAAATGGAATGGAAGACTTTATTCCAAAACGGTCATCGAAACCTAGAAAGTATCCTTCGTGGTATTCTAAAGATCTAATATATTACATAAAGAAAAAATCACATTGTCACAAATTGTACAAAAAAAAAATGGATCGCAAATGTGGTATGCTAAGTTCAGCATTTATCGGTCTCTTGTTAAAAAGTTGTTTATTCATGACGAGTGTGTTCATTTAAACGCAGTAGAAAATAGTATTTTTCACAAACCAGATAAGTTTTGGAAATTTGCTACACAACATACAAAAGGCAGTACACACGGTATCTGTCTCAGAAGAAATTCTGATTATCTGTCTAACCCGAAGGATATCGCCAACTTTTTTGCAAGTCATTTCAGTGGTAGTTTTTCCTCCGATGTTCCTAAAGATAGTGCATTTCTTGACGATCCTGTCTACTCTGATGTTTGTGCAGTAGACAAAGTCACTGTTAGCGAGATCTTGGCGGCTATAAGGAAACTGAAGCCGAAACTAACATCTGGTACAGATCATGTGCCTAACTTTATTGCTAAAGGTTGCTCG